GCTACTAGATTAATCATTAAAATCACTAACGATATGTACCAGTTCATTCAACTCGTTCACGAACGAGATGTATCCGTTCGGTCATTTCGTTCACGAACGAGAAGATCTCTCTCGTTCAGACTCAAAAGAAACTCGTTCAGTGAAGGGCGTATTCGTTCACTACATTCAACAAATCACATGCTCCGTCACATCTCATACTCGAAGGATATTGGCTCGAGGTTTAGTCATTCTTTGACAGGATGAAACATTTCACAGAGCTACCCGGTTCACTGATCTGCGCATGCGCTGCCAATAGCGCCGCGCTGCTGTGGAGGGAGGAATTTCAGTAAACGAGAAATATGAGTCAATGGATTACGTGAACGAGAACGATTCGTTCACCAAAAAGATTCGTTCAAAAAGAACGATTCGTTCACGAACGTAACAACACTAACAGCTGTATCTGTGCTGCCATTGGTCGGGTCCCCAATGAATAAGCACATTTGTCATAACCGGTATCAAAATATCACTGTGACAAAGCGGACATGAATGCTGCGTCGGATTTGTCAACAACCTGTGGTTTATTATTTTCCTAAAATAATTTAAAACGACAACGAATGCGTTCCTTGTCAATGTTTAATGCGATGATGGAAATGTGAGCAAGTAAAACACTGAAGTCTGGTTTTTCGAGTTCAATCAGAGCGAGAAACTCAAGCTAAGTTTCAGTTTGCTAGCTGTAGAGTTGCGTTTTTGTTTGTAAACACACGTTTGTCTAAAGCCGTAGCGATGGCTGATGGAAGGTCTTTCAACGTAAAGTTGTTCATTTATGACCTGTCAAAAGGACTGGCCCGTCAGCTGAGTCCCATGATGTTAGGTGAGTTCTGCAGTCGGCTAAAGTTGTCCGGGGGAGGTGGTGATGCCTCTAGAATAGAAATATATGTTTTAGTGTTGTTTGAGATGGTTTTTGTTTATTCAAGTCAAAGTGAAATAAGATATTTTATACATTCTGGAGAAAAATTCACCGTTGGAAGTATGTGAAGAAATGACTGATTGCAATTCTATATCTAAATTGACAGGAAAGCAAGTCGAGGGAATATGGTGAGTATGTTTTTTTGTTTACTTTTTTTGAAACTCTCAGGCAGTAGAATTTAATATGCAGAGGAGTCCAAAGGTTTGAGACCACTAGTGAAAATGCTTATATTTTGTATTTGTTTAAACTTAATAAACAGTTGAATTGAACAAGTCTTTATTTTAATGTATTAATCTTGGATTACTTAATGAAGGCACACATCTATAGTGGTTTATGGGGAAGAGTTTTTCTTTGGAGGAGGGGGCATTTTAAGCTGCTTTCCGGTAAGAGACATTTGTTTCTCAAGATATCTGAAAAGTAAAAGGCTATGTTAGTCTGTAACCCATCATAATCATGAAATGTTATCATGTTTCAGGGTGGTACTATTCTAGGTATGTCTGATTCCACAGTGGACCTTGGAAACACAGAAGTTCCCCGGGACCTTTTTCAGGAATATTTGTCTTCGCTCAGGGAGTCTACTTACAGGTCAGTATATCTTTCTTTTTTGCATTTAACAGGAAACTGCATATTTTCCTAGTTTAGTATGCAAAGACAAAGTATGGCATTGGTCTTTTGAGAAATCTCTCATCATTTTTAACTACAGAAATGACCATTTACATGTGCAAACCTGTACTTCCTCCTTTTTTTCCACAGACCTGAAAAATACCACCTCTTTGAACACAACTGTAACACCTTTAGCTCTGAGGTTGCACAGTTTCTAACAGGAACTAAGATTCCCTCATACATCACTGACTTCCCATCTGAGGTGCTCGCTACGTAAGTTTGCCCTTACAGCTTTACAATCAAATTTGTTGTTGTTGTTGTTGTTGACACTAGTGGTAGTATTAGTAATAACTGGATTGAATTACACTTTCCTTCTCCATAGACCTTTTGGACAAGCACTCCGTCCTTTTCTCGATTCAGTCACCATCACTCCATCGGGGGATAATGGCATGAATGGATATGGCCAGTGGTAGATCTGGCTGCATCTAAAAATGTATTATTGCAGCAGTCATGAAGCTTGTGTATCAGACTTATAATAATAATAATAATAATAATAGTTTACTTATGTTTCACCCATTGTGCCTATATAAATAGCATTTATATAAAAGCAGGTCTTCCAGATTTTCTGCTCAGTGCCTTTTCAAACTCAAGTGATGAGTTTTTCAGTCTCTTGAACTTTCCTTCAGTGGTCTGCGGTGTAAACAAATAGTCCGGTTTGTCTGTATAGTTGACTTTTCAGTACAGGATTTACAGTTCCACTGGTACAAACTACCAGTGGCAACAAAATGTTAGCTATAATAACCCCTGTGGATGTTTGAAATGTAAAATGTATTTTATAAAACTACAAAGTAGCATTATAATTACTAGGCAATTGTTTGCACTAATCTTTAACAAAACAGCCAACTTTTTAAAAAATAATTTAAATGTACCAAAGCAAATTGTATCAGGATTCCCCTCAACAGTCTGTAGGTGTCTCTGTTCTACCTCAACATGATCTGTTGCGTTAAGTCAGATGCTTTAAGAGGAATAGAGGATGAGAATTAGGTTGCTAATTATTAAAAATATGCTATGGTGATTAATACTGATTTGAGGAGTGACATTTAGAGTCCCTTATTTATGTGTAAATTAATTAGACAATTCATGCACCTTTACTGTTTACTGTGCTTTCAGATGCCTAACTCAGTCACTCTTTCCTTAATCATTCACTTCCTTTGTACTGATTGTTGACTCTTTCTGTGTTGTAAGTTGTTATCTAAACCTTACCTTTACTCAGAACAACATTTATATCAATCCTAGAGTGCCATGAATATATACTGAAGAGGGTTTAAGGGATCAGTGACGTCGCAAGAAGCACAGTGTCCCACAGATGAAGCTAATGAATGTTTTATAAATGTGCATTTTTTGCAAATTTGTTTATGTGCAGGTGTCACCAGCAATGGACCCAATAGGAAAGTTGTTGTATTTTAAGTCTTTTGACTCTTGTCCAATTGCTTCCAATATAGTAGGAATGTGGCTTTGGTGACCATTAATAGTAATTATTCGACTAGCAGTATGTAATTCATAACTAAGTGGTTTGATGGTAAATGGTCTGAACTCTCTAAAGTCCATATAGGACCAATGTAATCATAACAAACACATTAGCAATGAGACATATGTATGATTTTTAACCGGTTTATAAAAATGTGAACGATTTGTAACTTGAGATTTTATAAATGAAAAACATTCCTAGTAGTAATATCACAGTAAGGTTTATTTTAGTAGGTTCAGGTTATGCTGCCTGATTGATCTGTGTTACTGTTGTTCTAAAAAAAAAAAAACTATTTACAGCTTTCCTGCCTCAAATAAACCTCATTCATGTGTTTAAATGTGTTGTTAAACATCATTGTATCTCAGCTCTAAACAAATAAAGACATTCTGAAAGTATAAAGATGGGGTGGCTTTGTTCTTGATTGTCAGGTTGCATGGTTTTACAGTTTACAATCATTTTTGTACTAATAACAGAACCTTGTGTCATTTTTTGAAACAACGGATGACCTAAATGCACATTTTTCAAAACGCAACACTTTTTTCCAAATGCTTGGATACAATACACAAACCAAAAATTCTACATCATTGTTATCAGTATTTGTTTTTCCTATAATAAATGTCTTTTTAGAGGGTGATAGAGCTGGAAGCTGATAAAAACCATAATTTTTTGGATGAGGCAGGGTTTTAACCTGGCCATGACAGTGAGGAGAGGTTGAGAGCCCAGCTGTTGAGAGCAGCCCAGAATGTTTGTAATTTTGAAGGGGCCCCATAGCAAAATCAGTGCAATGGGCCCAGAATTCCTAGCAACGACACTGAGTGCAATCATGGTTTCAGGCCCATCCACAGTTTATCACCTTGTATTTACCCCCATACTCCCCTTTTCTTACTGTAAACCTACTGAAGAATTTTTCTCACATGGAGGTGGAAGGTTCACAAAAGACACCCTCACAAACAAGTCGCTCTTCTACAGGCCATAGATGATGCGTGCAATGACATCACAGCAGGAGACCAATGTCAGACCTGGATTTGCCATGCCAGATTTTTTACAAGATGTGTAGCTAATAAAAACATCCATCATGATGGGGATGAGAACCTGTGGCTAAATCCACAAGACAGGGTTGATAAAAACATAGAAGTGCAGTGAGGAACACTCCAGTTGACATTTTACTGTAGGCCTACTGTAGTTTTTTCTTATCTAATTTTTTCTTATCTGAAGTTTTTGAAAAACCTGTTGTGAGTTGATTATTTCTTCAATAATTTTCTAATTTTGTTTGAATGATTCCAGTGTCTGTACTTTTCTCTCTAGTCTATTACAATGAGGTATGAATGTGTAGAACCATAATGAAAGCTGCACCATGTGTTTTGAGCAACTATATTTAATGATTGTACTAACAACTACACAGTGAAACTATGGGTATCTTGTGTGTGGGTGATCTAAAGTAATGTTCATATGATATTTCATAATAAATGAGTTATTTGAACCAATGCTTCTGCAAATACAAGGCTTCTTTAAATATATGAACGCAACATGCAAAGTTTTGAACACTGGACAGCCTGTGTTACAAATAATGACTGTTTGGAGTTTGTCATCAAGGTTCTGGAATTGGTGACAAAATGATTGTAAAAAAACTGCAGTCGTGTTATTTTAGTATTTTTGAGATACTATTTTAATTTTTAATTATATTTTTTGTTACTTTTTTTTAGATTTTTTAGTAGTAGTAATGAGAAATGTTGCTTTGGCAAACTGAAATTATTTTTTATCATTTATTATATTTCAGCTAATATTGATTTTTATTTAAATTAAAGATGTTTCTCAATGGTTTATTTTTACTTTTTGTTTTAGCAAACTATAATAACCCTGTTTAATAGTATATAATGCTTTTAAATGTAATAAATGACCTCCAATATATGCATATTTTATGCTTTACATCTAAATGAAGGCTGTATGATTGAATTATAAATCCATTTATCTACCATAAGATTTGTTTCCGTAATGTTTTCAATCATTCTACAATACTGTCACCCATAGAAAATGTTTTTCATAGTTACAATTCACTTTAAAAAGTTTACACGTACAACTGCAACAGTCTGTACTTTTAAAGTTGTGTTTGAATTGCATCATTGTGCTCACATCTTCTTAGCAGTTCTTATGAAAATATGCTGACAGGTTAACTAAGGCAGTCTTTAAAAAAGACAAAAAGAGAGCTTTCTTTTTATTTGTACACTTTATCCCCTTATAATCCACAAAATTATTTGCTTAAAATTTTCCAGCTATTTCATTTTGAATTTAAGGCTTGTAAATCCACCAAATCATATACAGACTCTCATTTCTATGTTAATTAATCATAGTAATCTAATCTAATTTATGGTTGGCATTCACATGGAAGTTTCCTTTTTGTAGCTGTCCACTCACACAATCTCTGACATTTATATGATTTCATGGGCCATGCCACTAATTAACCACTACGGCTTTTCAGGGTGTGATCCTCTCATCCAATATTACTGTCACGAGCAGATAAAAAGATTTTACATCTAATCATGTGCATAATGTACTTCCAGTACCATTAAAATTAGAGGGCAAAGGAGAGCAAGAGAGTGACACCATGCTCATGAGATGAGCAGAGACATTTCAGAACATGCATGTTTTGAATAGTATACAAAAAGACATATATAAAACATAAAATGAAGCTGCATAAAACATAATTCTTAAAAATGAAACATTAAATGAAACATTATCTGACTGTTCATGTCCTCGTTTGCAGCTCAGGCTGTGGTTTACATTGAAGAAGTAATCCGCTGCGAAAGAAAGTGTTTTTTAATAATTGCATGTAGGATATGTATGATGAGGCTGGAATTGTTTTTAGTGCATTATATAGACATGGTGTTAAATGTTTTGTATACCTTGTGTTTTGTTTATTTGGATGTTTAGGCTGTGTTCTGTTCATGTTTCCTGTTTTTTTTATTTATTAGTTCCCTGATTGTGTCCTGGTGTATTATTAGTCTACCAGCCTATGTGTATGTAAACTCCAGTGTTTCCTAGTTCTTTGTAAGGTCTTGTCAGTGTATGGCTAGTGTTGGTATGCTCAGTTTTGTTTCTTGTATTCCTTGTTTTTCTGGTATAGTTGAGTTTATTTTGTACTTTTATCTTTCTTTAATAAACCTTCTGCATTTACACATGGGTGCATACTTAACACAGGGGTGCACAATCACCCACCAAAATGAAAAAAGCTTATTTTTTAAAAATATCTTCTAATATGCTGAAATACTGTCCATTTAATGAAAAGTAAAACAAAGGGATTCACAATTAATCTGGTAGCTTCACAGTCACATTGTCTTTAATGAGAAGGTTTTCAGAGATTTAGGGATGTTTTACTGGTGTGCAAAAATAAAAGTCTTTAGGATTTAAATTAATGATGGCACAAAACACTATAAACCATTGCTTTTTCAGGCACTGGTCAGTTTTGAGATTTTAGGCTATTCATATGCTTCCATAACTTGTCTTTTTTCAAGTTTTGTGTTTTGTTAATGTATACCCTTACCAAAAAGTAGTATACTTCAAGTTTATTTTAGTAAGTATACTTAAGTAAAGTTCAAGTATATTTTAAGTGTATACTAATAGCACACTTGAATAAACTTCTTTTTCGTAAGGGTACTATGCCTGCTTTATATAACTTTATTCCTAAAAATGTGGTGAAAATTATTTTCTGTTGACAGTATTTTCTGATTTATGGAGTGATTAAAAAGATATCCAAAACCCCCTCTGTTTTTTTGTTTTGTTTGTTTTTTCATTTTGAACCTAATTTTATCCAATGTTTGAATTGTCTGAATGTTCTGTCATTAATAAACTTGGAAAGTATGGTGATATCTATTAGTTACAATTTTGACCCTATACTATAAGGCCTATGGGTCTCATTTAGTTATGTAGAATAGCTGTAGGTTTTCCAAATTATTTCATAGCTCATTAGCTGTTTTACCATTTCATGCACTGTATGTGTAAGACTGTTAATTGCATGTTATCATTTCAATCAAAGACATAAAAAAAGACAATAATTTTATTTATTTCACCCCTTTTATGGGATAATAAGATTCTCCAAATCTGCAAATACAGATTAAATGTGGTAACAGTAGGAAAATATTTGACCAAGTTGCATTTTGAGCCAGTTAAAAGTCAGGTGGAAACACCAGCTTCCCTTGCTAAAACACCAGAACTTCAAATGGAAAGAGCTTCTGTACAGATACAAGGGTCTGAATTTTCTAAAGAATGAGTTAATCAAGAGCTTTCTACCATTTTCATAATTCATAGCATGTTTTCTCTGAACGAGACTGAGGGGGGAACAGAGCTATGCTAGGGGGATTGCTCTCGGCTCTCCCTTTCTCTATCAGAATTGTATTTTCCTCTTCATGGTCTCCAACAGCATGACTGGGAATACCACATTGTACTCTATGCATATGAGGTATATCAATCTTAAAGGAATAGTTCACCCCAAAATGAAAATTTGCTGAAAATTGACATACCCTCAGGCCATCCAAGATGTAGAAAAGCTTGAAATAAATTTAGAGAAATGTATCATTACATCACTTGCTCATCAGTGGATCCTCTGCAGTGAATGGGTGCCATCAGAGTGAGAGTTCAAACAGCTAATAAAAACATCACAATCAGATGATTAATTAACAATAAGATGTTAATGGATGGACTGGAGTCGTGTGGATTACTTGTAGATTATGATGTATTTATCAGGTGTTTGGACTCTCATTCTGACGGCACCCATTCACTGCAGAGGATTCATTGGTGAAGAAGTGTTGCAATGCCAAATCTGTTCCAATAAACAAACAAATCTCATCTACATTTTGGATGACCTGAGGTTGAGTACATTTTCAGCAAATTTTCATTTTTGGGTAAACTATTCCTTTTATTGTGTCTAACTCAGGCTTAAGTGAAGCTGAGATAAACTAAGTTCTGGGATATTTTTAAGGAGTCATTGTCACTTTTGTACTCCTGAGTGAGTTCATGTCTCAGTTTTTTCCCCAAAGACCACTGCAACAAACCTCTAGGTGATGAATCAGGAAGAGAAACTTTTTCACAGGTTCAGAAGAGACAATAGGGATAGACAAGAATATTAAGAAACTAACAGTTTATGCACATTATTATTCTATTTTTGCTCCACAATCAAAAATAGTTCCAAACAAATCCAAAATCATATGTTGCATGTCAACACACGGTGGTGTGTTTAGTTTCTGAATCAGTGTTTTTGAACAAAATGATTCAATTAATGATTCAGACGCTCGCTCATAATAACACTTGTCGTCAGCTTCTAGTGCAACGATATAACCAGCAAAA